AGGCAAAGCAGCAGCCTGACTCTCAGTCCAGAAGAAAAAAAAAACCCACAAAAAAAACTATTAATACTGTACTGCAAAGAAAAAAAAAAAGGAATTATTTTTAAAGAAAACAGCATGGCAGCAACTGTTTCTAGAGAAGGAGAAAATAAGTGTATATATATGGCATAGTACCTAAACAGCCATTCAAACTGTTTTAACTGCCTATGTTTTATCAATGGGATGTACTGGGAAAGAAATACATTCAAAGTAATAGTAGTTTTGAGTAAACGTGCTACAGGAAACAGAAACCGATCTGTCACAGCTATACATGTACAAATCAACAACAAAACTTATTTACAAACATTTATACCTACAGGCATAAAGACCAAGTTTAATACTTGTGAAATGTATCCAACTGCTAGAACTGGACTGACAAAAGCTCCAATCTTTAGCAATAACAGAGTAACATTTCTACACCACAATAACCATATGGCTTCAATCAGGTCTACCCTGAAGTCTTTGCATCTAGCTGATCTGTATCAAAGCTGAAAAGCTCTGCAGGTGTTTTAACTTTCATGTGTAGCATGGACCTGCATCCTGCTCCCTACCTACCTGAGACGCCCCAGCACCTTACGCTACACGCAGCCAGCAACCTAGAGCTGGCAGCGTTACAAACTTATCCAGTCTGCTCACAAAATGTTATTTTCGATCACATGGATTCATTCTTCAAATCATATATTTCATCACCTGCTACATTTTAAAGATAAAAAGAAAGATAATATAAAATTAATCCTGTATGCAAAAACATCTAAGCCCAGAAGTGATTAAAAATAGACTAAGGTGGGCATAATTAGTAACTAATAAAAAAGCTAAAAGTCATATTTACGGAATTCAACACTTCAGTCATATAGTTAACTGCCTTCAAAGACTAACAACCAGACCAATTCACAAGTACCTAAGTTGCTTACATAATTAAAAGAATAAGATGTAAAGTCAAAAAAATATATTTTATCCCTTCGAGATCAGGAAAGTAAAATAAAATGCTGGTTCTGTAACAGTGCAACAACTGCAGCATATTTTGCACGCAGCACATGATTTGCTACATTTAGTGGCACTTAAGTATTATGCGGTAAATACTGAAAGTAAGACAAGTTTCTGATCTGCGTAAGCATAATCACATCGTTATTACCAGAGTTGCTAAGCTACAGTATTCCGAATAATACCAATTCAAATTCAGCACTTCGATCACTAGCCTTAATACACATCAACATCCTGCTTTACACCTTGCTAAGAAAGCAATCACTGAACCCAAGTATTTCATGAACTTGCCACCGGGCTCGGACCAGGTTCAATCTGACCAGTCGTTCTCATCAAACTCTGAGTCATCATCGGAATCACTGTATTCCACAGCAATGCGTCTCGAAAGGATGGTTGCCACATCATTTCCAACAGGCTCACGCTTTGCTTCTTGCTCACGTTGCTCCTGCACCTTTTTCAGCTGAATTCCTGTAGAGACAATCACTCTCAAAGTTTTCTGCACAAGAGATTCTAAATTTCATATTGTTATTGGGGAGTTTTTTGTATTCTGACTCAGGAAGAAGAAAAAAGTAAACCATTGAGTTGGAGAGCCTCTCTGAGCAAGGGAGAGAGGAAGACAAAAAAGCAGATTGGAATCCATTCTCAGAGACTGAATACTTCTCAACTTCCAAAACTGCCAACAATATACTAAAACTAAATATTCACAACTGTACGGGTCCTTTTGATGTGCACATGGAAGTTTTCCTAACTGTAATTGGAAATACCATGACCCCTACAGCTCCATATTGTAAGCAAAGTCAGGAGCAGCCATCAGTCACTGGTTGAAAATCAGCGGGCAGAAGCCCGGTGTTGGATAACTTGGTTCTTCGGAACAAAGCAAAAATTCATTAACATCTACCAGCTCCTTTACATAATGAACACACAAGTACTGTTCTCATTTGGTTATGTCCACACAAACACTAGAACATATTTAACAAAGCTGTACATCTTGGAACATTAGGCTTCAGAAAAAGATCCAAAGTCAGGGTTGACAAGAATAGGTGCGTGGCACCTGTGGTTAGTTAAGTCTCTCAATGACATTTTGCCCAGTTGGGAACAGAAGCCACGAACTCAGAACAGTGGAAAACACAGTGCTTTAATTGAAAAACAGAAATAGCTGGAACTCAGCATCCACTTACCCATTCGAATGGCAGCAAGAAGATCGCTCCGTGCATCACTTATTGGCGGCTGTGCAGGTTCGTGACGTTTTGCCTCCACAGCTGGAGGAGCATGCATTGGGGAGGAAGAGAGGGATGAACCTGTAGCAGGAGGGCCAGGAGGAGGAGGAGGTGGGCCAGGAGGAGGAGGAGCAGTGACAACAAGCCCACTAGAAGGAGGAGGATGAGCAGCTGCATACGTGGAGCCAGTCACCAGTCCAGAATGGGAAGGTGGCACAGGAAGCTGAAGGGGACTAACAAATGCAGTTTGTGCTGAAGGAATCACAGGGGGAGGAGGAGGAGGGGGAGGACCTGTAGGATTGTAATAATCCACCATCTGAGCTGGAAGCATCCTATATAAAACAGAAGAAAAACATTTAATGCATTGAAAGTTAGGACTTACAGAATCATCACCCCTTAAACTGCTCTCATCCAACCTCAGCTAAAACAAAATTCAAAAGGAATTTAAACTCGTGAGTTAAATATGCAAGTGATTATAGACATAAAAATTGTCAAATAGTGGTAATACACTGAGATTTCAGACAGATAATGAAGTCAAAGGCAGTGTCCTTTCATCACTCCACAAAGACTTTTATCTTAAAACTCCTGCCTAGTTAAGTATAAAGCTGTATTTGTTACTAAACATCTACTCTGTGAGAATATTAAGTACAATGCCTATGATGAAGAAGGGACCAAGAAAACTGTAGACTACACGTATCACTTCCATAGAAGACCAAGTGTTAGAACAAATACTAGGAGATAGTAAGAGACAGGCATGGAGGACAGTGGGAAGTATGAATGGAAAGATTTACCCAAAAGGTATATCATGCATCTCATGTGCTTCTTCAGTCAAGTTTATCAATTTAAGTATTAAATTGATACATTTGATTGATACTTTAAAGAGTAGGAACAGGGAAGAGTTAATTTCTTTGTTAAAATGTCATTAAAAGAATTCTTAAGCAGAAAAAATGGGAATTAATATAAGAGTTATGAAGTAGGTAAGGAACTAGATATAGGAGACAGTTGAAGGAGTGTTACTGATGACATTCAGTGATACATGTCAATGTATGACAATCGTGATACACTGACAGTGGTCATGTACCTGGGGACTAAGCACAAGTATTTCTGTTATAAACTGGAAACAACAGAGAAAATGCAGATTGGAGCAGTCAATCATAGCATAACTGAGTCATCTACAGCATGATACAGTCATGAATCGGGCAAATGCTATCCCAGGATGCATCGAGTGAGGCTGAAAACCTTGGCTTGCTTAGTTTAAAATGACACAGGCAAGAATGATTACAGCTTTCCTGGGGTTACAACTTGAAAGTTTAAGCTATTTAAGCAAAAGAACAGACAGGCACAGACTGGTTAGAAAACAGATGTTTTCTTGCTGTTGGAGAGCCAGTACTCTGGAACAAGCCTTCCTTCAGAATGCAGCATTCAGGCAAAATATCCACATAGGCATTTGATAAATTTGTATCTTGAATTATAGAGGTGTCTGTGGCAGTAGGGAACCTGATTCTCTGTCTGAGGAGATCCCTTCCAATTGTCATAAGCTCCTTTAAAAAGTCATTTCAGGGATGCAACACAGACTGCCACATTAATCGCATTCAGCAATACATTTCCTGAAGTTTAAAATATTATTCAAATTATGCTGTATTTCCCACTTTAAAGGAAAATTATCCCCTTTTTAATATTATATTAGGAAACCTTAGTATTTTACAAGCATATTGATTTCACCACATTCACTACAGAGTTCATTATTTCTGCCTTCACTATTTCTTCACTGAAATCCAGTTCATACATAGAAATAATACCAATTTTTCTTCTGTCCTCCCCAAGGAGGTAAGTAATGTACTTGGGGTCTTTTTGAGTGTATGCATTGTATGTCATGATGGTTATGGAAAACATGCATCCCTCCAGTTTTGCCAAGAATCCACTGGAATAAATCAGGAGTTTTACCCATATTCTGCTGGTACCACAGGTACTGAGCTATGTTGGCCATCTGAAGGCTGGGGTGGAGGTGGAGGTGGTTGCTGAGGTCTGTTTAAAGTAGCATGTCGTACAGTGGTGGAAGGTGGTCTGTATTCATGCTCATGGCTTTGGGATGCTGCCATGTACTGTGGACCATCTCCTGTCCCATATGAAGGCATTGCTATCTGCTGATGGAGGGAATGATTCGGAGTAGCAGGATAAGAATAATCTGTAACATCAGATGCATGGGACCTAAAATTAAAGTAAATGGATGCAGAACAGATTATGTGAGTGTAACAGGGTATTCTAAATAGCTCACAAGACAAGCTAGAAAGAATGCAACCAGAATTATTTTTCCTGCAACAGGACTCCCAGATTATCAAGCACCATTCCCTTGTAAGTACACAGAAAGCACAAGAACAAATGCAACAAAAACCATGGTTCAGCTTAACACAACTTGAAAATAGTCTGACAAGTCAGCATAAAAGGACTGAAATTTAATGTTTTCAGTATTTCAGCATACTAGCTGCATGCAGCGTTCTCCTATAATGCAGACTTCAAAAAAGACAAAAATTTAGAGCTTTCTCCAGATTTTAGAGTTCTTCAGTAGCCATAAGGAGGCATATTGGTTTTGTCGATGATTTTCACAGTCCATTGTTTGAAATGATAATACGTATCAGGCCTGCCTTAAGTTAACAATGGCAGCAGAAAAAGGAAAGCAAGCACTCACACATATGCAGAAGAATGTATTTTACCCAAAGCAGAGAAAACCAATTTCAAAGTTAGAAAATGCTTTTTATTTTGTTTGCATAATTAATTTTGCAGGAAAGGCTTAGAGAAACTGGGAAATGTAAATATTAGTTGAGCAGAGAGTTCATAAAGATACAAAGTCTAGGATGTTCTGTCAAATAAGCCCAAGAGAGGGAGCAAAAGGATCTCTTCATCCCATTACTGCAAACAGTTGTTTTAGTAATGAACAATCGTGCAGCCTGGCTTTTAGTGAACACAGTAAACTGATGCATTTCTCTGTAAGACTGGAAGCAAGGTAAGCAACAAAAAGCCAGGGCCTTGAGTAAAACAAAACGACAAACCCTTTGGGCATTTTGTCCTCTTTCATGCTTCCTGCCTGTTCCATTTTCTTTGCGTCACTCATGAACTCAATGCCCATTTTCCTTCTCTCCCACTCTTCTTTTCTTGTTCTTACTTTTCTCACATTAATTTGCTGGTTTCTGTTTGGATTCAGCTTGTGTTTCTCTCTCTAAAGTATAATAAGTATAACAAATACATTGTAAATTGCCATAGTCTGGATACTTGGATGTCAATATTTAACACTTAAGACTTACAATTAACAAACGAGAAGAAATGTGAGCTCTTTTTTTTTTACTTTAGTATTAAAAAGAACCACAATATAGCCACATACACTACCTTGGGACCTTATTTATAAAACACTGTTCATGCAGTAGCTGTCAGCATAAAAATGTGTCTGAAACTAGTACTTATTTCTGTATGCATGGGGCTTTTTTATAGCTTAGTTCCTACAATTAAGCCTACCCCAAGATAAAAAATAGAAAGCCTTCTCTCCACCTCACTACCACTCACAAAATTAACCCTTCATGCATGTAAAACAGATTTCAGATTTCAATCACTGATATTTGATTCACTGAAATTTAAAGTTTTCCATATATTATAAAATTTGAAAGGCTTATATAATTACCAGATGTCATACCACAACATCTATATCCAACATAATGAGGCATCCCACAATTTCTGCTTAAAAAAAAAATCCTACAGATGACAAACATTATGGATATTTGCAAACAGTCAAATACATGTTGACATTGCTGAGAGATAAGAACAAATCACTTCAATATGATTATTGAAACTTGGGAATCCTGGAAGCAAGGTGTTAAGGCTGGAAAAAGACTCAAAGTGTGTGAAACACAGAACTCATGATGAAAAAACCTACATCTTGCACTTGACAGCTGAACATCAATGTCATTTTACCAGATCAAGCTACGGAAAGCATAGTCTTAACAAAACACTACAGACTAACAAACAGAAGACAATACTTTGCATTAGAAACTGAAAAAAAAAATTGGTGATTAAAGGATTTTAGACAGAGAGAGGGAGTCTGAATATGTTGTTCAAACAGCAGTAGCAATTTTCTTTAAAATTCCATTTTCAATTACAAGATGATAACTCTTCACAAAGACCAAAACATCACATATACAAAATTCTGAGCAGATTTTTTTTTTTTTTTTTTTTTTAAATTAATAAAAACTGGACAGCAGACTAAAGGTATCAGTCCACACTTTTGCAATGGTGGCCACTTCCTCAGCCATTCAACAATTTAAACACTAAATTGTCACACACTTGTTCCACTAGATTCTATTTATTCCTAACATTACTGCTAGCAATTAACCACAACAGAGGAAATAAAAATAAGTGGGAAAATCCTCTAGTGAGACTAGCTTAGTGAAAAAACTGAGACTTCCATGCACACCAGAAGGTAACTCCCACTGAGCTCAAAAGGCATCTCAGTCAAAGATGAACTCTGCTGTATCTCTAAGCAGAGTTTTCTGCTATTTCAAACAATAATGTTGCATCTGGTTTTGTAGCTTGCTTTTTAGACAAGTATAACATCAACAAAGCTGAACTGTTCCCCATTACAGCATTCTGTTAGAGGCAAAAGTATACCTGAGTTGATGACAGCAAAAATATTTATTAAGCTGTCAGCAGCGTAACACATGACAAACTAGACACGAAGGAAGAGGTACTGACATTATCTAGTAAAGACAGCTTTAAATGCTTTTGCAGTTATAACTACTCAGGATCAAACAAAGTATACAGCAAACACTTCACTACATTGCATAATATTACGATGACAAAACGTTCATCTAAAGCTGAGGAAGAAAAAAAATCATTAATTACAGAATTTGTTGTTATTTGTGCTTTAAAACAATTTCGAGAAGGACTTCAAAACATGCATTGTATGTTTTGTCCATTCTAACTACTCCCAGCGTGTAAAACCACCTAATTCTACTCAGTATTTCTGAACATACAACTGCGGTATAACAAACAGCTTTGCTGTAAACAGACCTAGTATCTGGGGACAGTGATCCCTCGGAAGATGCTCCATGGTACACACTTTGAGACAACCTGTTGTCAGGTCTAAGCTCTTTGTCATATGCCATCATATTCCACTCCTGGCGTCTGTTCCTGGCTTTTCTAACCTTTTTCACCTCACGGGTGGTGCCATCTATACGCTTTTGCTCCTAATGTTCAAACAAAAGAAATAAAGCATGCAAAGAGAGAAAAAAGGGAAAGGAAAAAAGCTGGTTAAAATGCAGTTAGAGCGCATGAAAATAAGACCAGGTTTACAGATGAGGCCAAGTCTTCATAAAATTTCTCTGCACTGAAAATGAGAATATCTCCTTAAGCTATGAACCTCCTTAGGAGTAAGACTGCTGCTTTGCCCTTCTTCTGTAGGATGCACATGCTAGCGTGATACCGATCTACTGTTTTTCCCAATAAAGACTGAAATGTGACTGATTTTAAAAGCCAGAAAGTTTTAACCTCTGACATTGTATGTCATTTATTTAGACTGTCCTGAAGCATCTGTAATTTCTTTCTCCTGCAAATGAATCTTATGAGAATGTTAAATACACTCAGGGTAATTTTGGTTATTTGACAGGGTCACCTGAAGTGTTGGGGAAGCAGGGAAAAATCAGAAACACTTTCGTATTTCACAGTCTACGTGAATTTATTTTTTTTGTTTAACTTCCTCTCCCTTCTTAGATCTGATTAACTACCAAAATTCCTCCTAGTTTTTCTTCATCATTGTTTCCCATTATCTTATATAAAAATGAATGATACTAATCCTCTCTGCAACGTGTCAGTAATATTCAGGCCAGCAATACATTACAGCTTGGTTGCTTCATGACAAATCAGTGTTTCATTTTTTGAATCTCTCCATATAATTTCAGGCCCAATAAATGTCAGTGTTTATCTAGTGGTAAGATCTCCTAATAGTGGGAGTCAATGCTTTCACACCTCTGAAATGTTGTCCTTGCCTATTTCTGACTACTCAGAATGACTGTAAAAACCATATTGGTGCTTCAGTAGAAAAGCAAGTAAGTTTACTCAATCCAAACTGAGAAAGGTATTTATGTGCTACTCCTCAACATGTATGAGGGCATTGATTATTTTTTTTTAATCCACTCTAGAGCCCACATCTTATAATACTAATTAATAATAGTTTAAACATGTTTTCTCTCTTAATAAGTCAGTGTTAGGCTTTTGGCTGCTAGAAAAATAGTTTCTCAGGAAAGAACTATGTTGATATTCTGAGAATGCAGTTATTCAACTGTATTTAGAGAAAGAAAGTTTGGTAAAATGCTGATACACAAGCATTTTGTTGTGGAATCTCCACCTTCAAAGTAAGGGATAATAGTTGGAAAGCCAGTCTCACCAAAAAGAAAAAGAAAAGTACATCACAGATGAACATAAGTGTTTACTCCAACTGTCAAACAGGGCTGAGTAAATAATTGTGAAATATTGTATTTGGCATTATACAACTAACAAAAACCTATCAAATGGCTTTTTTGCCCTTGTTTCGGATCTCTTGCTTGCTCATGCATGTCTGTATGAGGGACCCGCTGATCCGCATCTGCTAACATTAAGAATGACAGAGAAAAGTCTTTGTGAAGATCAACATCCAAATGTTCCAACAAAACTTGTTCATTCCTGGCCCCTGCAGTGAGTAGATTTTTTGATCTGATTTGTGTTAAGTAAAGATCATCACCTTGGTTCTTAATTACTTCCTATAAAAAAAAAATAAATCTTTTTCCTTCCCAAACTTTTTAGAATCACACCCTTTTTATCCAGGTTATGCAAGGTTTTACTTTCTCCTTTAATACCACTTCTTCACATCAAAATTTCCCAATACAGGAATTGGAGCAGAAGGGAGAGATTCAACCATGCTTTAATTTAAAGTTTTGCTAATCACCATGGTTGAATATATGCTTATTAAAGGCTTTACATCTGTCTTTTTCATTTGATTGCTGCAAAACTTAATTTGTTTTAATTTCTGACTTTTATCTTGGTTCATTTATTATAATTTTGTTACTAAATCATGCTAGATTTGAGAGGAAAGTACAAGTAAGCCTTTTGGTTAACTGAAAATATGCTTTATTTTTCTCACAGAATAGTAACTCCATCCTCTAAAGGTTGCAACTACACATTTCTTGCCGTTTGCAGATTAAAGTAAACATCCACCTTTTGACCAATGTATAACACTGCTCAGAAGACAATCATTTTGATACAATTCCTGTACAATCAGGAGCACTTACATTACTGCTTACATATAATCACCTATTTAAAAGTTTGGTTTTAAAGAGATCTCCATGTTTTTTTATTAAAAATGTAGATACATATGCATTTATAAACAAACAACATAAGATATACAGAAAGCTTAGTTTGGCTTTATTGGTTGTTCCAGACCAGCATCTGTAAGTGAATAAATATGCTGGAACCCTGTTTACTCACACAGTACTAAACCCTACTGGTATTGATTTTTGGATTAAATATTATATAAATACGTCTCTAAAACATTTTGTTTCTTCCAAAACAGTGGGGTAGGCTAATTACCAGCAGTTGACAAAACTGTATAGGCCTCTAACAACATATACCTCTAATAGAGTAGTATTAAGTTGGTCCAGTAATACTTTCATTACCTCGACAAACCATGGTGACAGCTCTAGTTGCAGTACCTAGGGCAACGACAACAGAGTTCTAGGGGAGCTGAAGCCTTTCAAAATAACTACAGATAGAAATATTTCTTAGGGAAGTTAAGCAATATTAAGAATAGTTACTTCCTTTAACCAAGTGTAGTAGAAGCTGCAGCAGACTAGTGGATGGTTAAGCCAGAAAACAGGTACATCATTCAGCTGTCGGCAGAAGTGATTTCAGCAAACACAACAAACGTATTAGAGCCCTCAAAGAGGGTTAATTTTAAGTTTGATATTTGCATCAAGAGTTAGAAAATTATATTTCAAGCATCTTAATAAAGAATTAGAACTAGTAGCAGAAAACAGCTTCAGCAAGTATTTGCAATACTTTTGAAAAACTGGAAGCATGAGCCTAGAGTACTTTCCCAACTTCACAAATTTATCAAGATCCTGTAAGTCACAAGTCATCAACAATGATTTTATTAAATACAAGCCCTCCAAATTTAAATATTTCTACTTATTTAAATAACTAATCATTCCTCAGAAAAAACAGGGAACAATAAAAAGCAAAGTAGAACAACTTCCCTTTGGTTAATCAACAGTTAACAACTGGTCTACTCCAGTCATTCAATTCAGAGCGTTACAGATCTATGCAAGAGTCAAAACTAACTTCTTTGAACTCTTAGGCACTGACCTACTGAGAGTTTAACGGTGAAAAAAACTGAGACTACACCACAGATTTTAAACTTAAAAGAATTAAAATTACTGTTTTCTTCAGCAAAAAACTTTACATGAAAGAGCTAAATCAGAGAAAGCCTGTGTTAGATTTCCTCAGTTAAACTGAATACAGAAATAATAAATAAGTATGGTATTTGCAGGCAGGAAGATGAATCTCCTCACAAACCTTCTGCTGCAACAGCTCAAGCATTTAAGTCAAATTACCAAAATAATATTGGAAAATTGATTCTCTGGTGCAAGGAGTACTCTCAGGCTCAACTGACCACCTGAAAAATTGAGGCTAAAAGCCAGCTACGTTTGGTCAGCTGAGTAGGACTGCACTTGGATGCCTAGCTTCTAATTTGCTAAGCAATACACATCTATTTCACCTACACAGTTTTTCAACAATATTTTGTGGTTCTGTAGAGTACAAATTCTCACATAAGGAATTCTCACTTAGTAGATTCAAAACACAACTTCAGCCACAAAACTGTTAATAGAATCTCTGGCTTCATTCTGGTCACTGCTATCATAAGGACAAGAACAAAAGAAAACGACGGCCTGTTAAGCAACCTGTGGAGACATCTCGCCCAAACCCTCCAGTTCTCTGGAGGTTCCAGATGATAAAAAGCTCATCTGCACCCCAGCTTCTGGAAAGCTAAAAACCAGACTTCCTCCTGTCACAAAGTGCCACCTATCCATGCAGACTCAAATCTATGCTGCTTTCTTCTTAGCTGGTCTCGTTATACATCTCATCAACAGCATTACAGGTAGATTTTATCAAGCACTATTTCTGTGATGTATGGCTATAATCCTGTATGACTGGAATTGAGCATATTTTACATTTGGTTTGTAGACTGCAATAAGACAATTAAAATCTATAAAAAAAATACACCATGGATGGAAATAAGTGAGATGTGTTGCCTAAAATATAGTCTAAAATCAAGTTTATGTATAAAGCCGCTTTGTAAAAATCTCTCTAAAGCTATGAAAAACATTTTCAAGCAATATTCTAATTTTTCAAAGCTTTCGTATTTTTTCCTTTTTAATATTAAATCAGAATTTAAAAAATAGCAGCTGATAAGTTTCTTTTTATCTCCCTCTCTAGTGAAAAGATCTAAATTTGAAGGGAAAAAGGTAGGAGGAAAAAACCCAAAGGGTTCAATTATCCCTGTACATTTTTTATAAAGAAATACTGAATGGAACTTAAAAAAAGCAACAAAACTAGAGAATGAAAACCACTTTAATTATTTCCAGTCTTTTAATCAGCTCTGTGACTTACCATACTGAGAATATAGTGGGATTATAACCTTGCATATACATTTGTATAGAATTATACGAATAACCAAGTGAATATTTTCCAGTACTTTACTTTAGACAGTAACTTCTACTGAAAATGTTTACTCAGCTTTTTCAACTCCATTTAATATTTCAATCTGTCAAAACAGAAAACATTTTTTCATTCATACTTCTGACAGGAAGACCCAACTTATTTCCTCCAGAACTTTTAAAGTCATGAATTCACAAAATGTTTTAGTTAAACCAAGGCTTCATGTTCTGTTTAAAAATGTTGTAGTCAGAAAGCTTTGCCTAGCAACAGGAACCAGGAATTAATAGAATTTTATAAAACCAGAATAGTAAAGCTTCCCAGCCATGCCCTACAATTTGATTTCTAAGCAGGTGCTATATGTATTAGCATATATACACCCATGTATTATACACGACATACAACACAAATATACATTAGCATGGATATTCGTGTATTAGACATTATGTATATGCACATGTATAATACATGTATATATGCTGATATATTATACCTGCTTATATATACACATGTATAGGCATGCTAACACACATGTGTATGTGTGCATACACACATGTATGTGTACATATGTGCGTACCTGTACTGAAAACTAAGTAGCTTCCTTATATTTCCTCTGAGCAGTCTGTGCATCTTGTTTGGATTCCTTTTATTTTAAATCTCTTATCTCTCACTGAACCTATCTAAAAGGGCACCTTCTGCCAGATAAGATAGGCAGTCACTGCTTCAAACTCTCCTTCACTTTTTTTTTCCTCAGAATTATCTTCAAAAATCTTAAAGCCCTCAGACTTGATAAAAAAAATTGACCACAAAGAAGCTGCAGAAGTAGCAACTGATTTCTTCATTCAAAACCAAAATCCATTAAGAAAATCTTGATTGCATCAGAATACACATCTTGGATCAAACTGCTGAAGATATTCCAGAAGGACTGAAGACACTTTTCTGTGAAAAAGCCTTTTTTTTTGTTGGTTCTAAACTTAAAGGAAACATAGAATATTACTCCTAAAATTAATCTTCTCCTGTTGCCGAGACACAGAATAGTTTTGCTGTGTATTATCATCTTACTAACTTGTAACAGGTGTAGGAAAGTGAAGAGTTACTATCAAGGAACTAAAAAACCCAACAAAATATTTATTTCTGGATAAGCTCATGTTTTGCTACAAGAGTTGATGTTGCTGGATATGTATGTATGAAAAAAAGTATGAAAATAAAGGAAACTGTAATTCAAACTCCTTCCCCCCCCCCCCCAAAACACGGCTGTTTTTTTATCACAGTGTTTTTTTCTGAAGCACAACAGGACCATTTTGCTGAGTATTAATAAGCAGACACTGGTAGAGGATTGAAGAAAGTATCTTGGAAGACAACTACAGTGCTCCTAAAATTCAATTTGCTAACTTCTGAAAATAGGCAGCATGAGCTATAAAAACTGAACCAACTGAACCTACAGCCACTTATAAAGAGGAATAGTCTTTCCATGCACACAAACTAAGTATGACCTAGCAACTTTTGTGTATGGTTGTCCACACATAAAATTGTAATACATATATTTGCTATTATGTTTCTGCTTTTACCTTTTGTCGCCTCTTTTCTTTTCGCTTATCTTCAGTATCTTGTAACATTTTCTCTTTCCAAAGATCAAAAAAATAGGAAGGATCAGTATAGAACTTCAATCCATCTTTCTTATCATCCCTGGAAATACAGTAGAAGAAAAGCTAAGAAAATATGAATTACTATTTTTCAAACCAACAAAACTCACCTTTGACAATCATCCAAGCTTTGTCTTTTTTGCATTATAGCATGACAGCATACCAAGCACATTAAATGCCACTCTTGGTAGTTACCGCTTACAATTGGCTTGGTTCATGCCAAGAATTACAGGGGGAAAGGGTGGAATCCACAGCCTTCTGGGAGGCACGCTCCTAGGCTATGCCTCATCAGAGCTCAGCAGGAGCTGACTGGGCTCCGGCATCAGCCAGCTCACTGGAGTGAAATTCACTGGTGCTGCAAGAGGACCAGGACCAAAACAGGATGCGTAGGGGACAGAGGAGCTTAAGAATGAAACTCAACTGTCTCAAGAGAACTGGGCAAGGAGCGTTTGGCTCAATCCAGATGGGTCTTAAGATCTGAATTTAGGAGCAAAGTAGGTCCAAGTACCTTCGCCCTTATGACAGGAAGCACAAGACAATCACTAGTGGGACTCTTCTAACCAGGGGAAGGGCTAGGAAAGGGGTGGCAACTGAAAGGTTGAATCCTACCAGACTATTCTAGGAGGATTTGAGACAGAGCTGATCTGGGCTTGCCAGCTCCAATCAGAAGAAGGAGCCAGGGACGCCCAGACTAAGAAGCCACAAAAAAGGTAAGCTATCAAATCGTAATTTGACCCCATGGCCTGGAAATAAAGAATCTTCTAATATGCTAAATTCCTGGAAAGCAGTGGCTGCAGGGAGGAGTCAACAAGGCAGGGTAGCTGACATGGTCCAAACAGCATATGACTGTGATCCCAGTCCAGCTTGCTAAAATGGTGTCCTTCAGATTCCCTGGTTGGCTGTGGGTCCCAATTTCTTCCTGGGCAAATTCTGGTGGCAGCTGAATACTCGTTTCTACCAGCAAGATGAAGAGTGATGGAGATGCAGCACATGGAAACCTTACAACCACTGGAGCAGAATACAAAGAGCAGGTCTTGTATACTGTCTGGTCATACAGCCATAAAACCCTTATGTTTTGTGTGCTAGATCTCCTCACTACAAACGCTTAACCTACTGACAAGGGTACTGGGGCCACTCTTCCACCCCTCCAGCTTTGGTCAGTCTACAATTTGAAGTCCATTTAAGCTTTGTCCAAGGCAAATACAAATAATTTACTTTAGCAGATGTAAAAGGCTTACCAAGAAATATAATTAAAGTAAACTTCACTGAAGTATCCCGAATAATACAGGACTAACAATAAAGGTCACTGACACTGTCATCCAGATATTTATTAGGACATAGCTGTGCAGAACAGCTGATCGGTAACAACTCTTACTAACTAGATGCCTATTAACAAACACCACTACTGTCTGTAGCAGCGACAAAACCCACGTCCTTCAGCTATAAATCTAACAATTCTACCTTCCAAGTAACAGCTCTTAAAAATGAAATACCCTGTAAATGCTCTGCTATATCATTACTAAAAAAATTCAAATAATTTACTGCAGATTGAGTGCCTGCTTTACACAGATACCTCACAATCTAGTACCTCTCAAAAGTTGAAGGACACCGTAAAAACACATTGTCCACAATCCTTCAGACAGACAAATTATACTCATTTCATAAACAACAATAAACTTAAAGGAAACAGGAAAAGAAAATAGGAAACTAAGTCCTGCTTGCTGCTCTTCTATTCACCTGTAAGCAACCAGGAAAAGAAAAAGTAAAGACTCCGTGTGTGCAGATGTGTCTGTATGTTGGGGGGAAGAAGGAGAACAGAGAGGGAAGGCAAAAGCAACAAATCCAGCTTTCTGGATAAATGAACCAAAGAAAGCGGTTTTGATAATTATTAATCTTCTTTTCACTTTTTGCATAATCAGTGGCCCTTGCTCTCTGATCCTGTGCTGCCATGTAACATTTAAGCTGAAATATGATGACTTTTGTCAGGTACAACTTATGATTTTAAGTATGGTAATAGCAATTTTTGTTTTCATAAACAGGGAAGTCCCCTGGCAAAACAAATCTCAATACCCAATACATCCCGTCTGCTGTAATTATTCTCTGCATACACCTAGGAGATAAAGGACAAAGTACAAGAATGTAAACAATGAGTATTTCCATACCTATAAGGTGAAAGAATGTTCAGAGGTGGTGGTTTGTCACTCTGATTATAAATATCAGCCACCGGGTTAGGAATGCTGTTCTTTGAAACTACCTGCTGATCTTGAATTGTCGAGCTCTTGAATGCTTTTTTCATGTTGATATCCTGTAACGATACTGTTAGAAAGAAAAATGCATTTATCACAGGTCTGAAATTAACATAAGTGGATGAACAAAGTCCATTTTATACTAGCTATTTAAAGTATTTTCAGCAAAATATAGAAGGCAAATTGAAAGATTTTTTTCTTTGGTGGATAACCGTGATGTTTAAGCACAAAGGCATATAAGAATTACCACAATAAAGCAGATTCAAGTCCCACTTGGTCCAAAACCTCACTTAAAATAACAGGACCACGGACTGTGTCTTGGAAGATGATGCAAGAATCCTGCCACATGCAGATGTCCGATGATCTCCCTCTTTATGAGGTTTAACCTGGACTTTTAATAGCAGAAAAACTGGCTTCAAGCCTGAAACACAAGGTCTGGTATTCCTCATGACACAGCATGTTTTATAGTTACAGGTGGTAGCCATACACATTCAACCCATTCTAAGTTTAATTAAATTATGGCCTCCACAACCTCCTGCGAGAGTTCCACATCTTTTACCATATTTCAACTCCAAAATCTTTCCATGTAATTGAACATCCCTTGATCTTAAGTTTTCCTCATCTCTCTTTAGAGAGAAATACTTACCTTCTTTATGCAGTCCAGTAACATACTTCCATTTTATGTTTTCATGTACACAATTCTGGAGGAAACAATACTAGCATTTTCATTCTTTCTTTTCAAACAAAAGATTTAAGTTGCTTTTAATTGTTCTTGTCACTTTTGGCAAGACTGACTTTCATTCTTAATGTAAATTTTCCTGAGATGAAGTGACCTTTGCTAAAAAGATCCAGATGTCAATAGCAGTTTAAAAGTGGCCATGAGCTCCCCACATTATCTTCCATTCTCAGGCAACCTGAAGTACAGGTTTTTGACTGCAGTTGAACAGAGTGCTCAAGTCTTCACTGGCTTGTCTACAAATGACAGTAACCATTTCTTGAATTGATCCCACTGCTTTACAACAGTGTAAGCTGTAGGAATAGTGCAAACAAAATGCACTGGCTTGTTGTTTTTTTTATTGCCATTGCCATTTTGTCTAGTATTTCTTGCCCATTCATCTAATTTATCAAGTCTCAAGAACAGAGAATTTCACACGGAACTGAACAGCACTGGGCAAAAGCGTAATATATCGATGACCTGCAAAACCAGAAAGGCATGAAGTTTGATACAGAGCCTCTAAGGTACACTATTACCCTTTGTCATGATAGAAACCAAATCCCACTCAGACTTCTCCACCCAACCATTTGTTATCTGTGCTGAGGTCTTGCTTCTCACTCCAAGACCACTTAGATTCTTCCATAGCTTTTAAAATAGCAAAAAATTAGAATATTTCTTTCCAAATCATCGCTCCCCAATCCACATCATCATTAGTTTCAAAACATCATTTTTGAGAAACTACTTTCTATTTAAACCTGCCTACAACAAAACCAGTAAGGTATTTCAGGCAGTTTTTTGGTATGTATATACCTGAATTGTTACATTCTTGTTTGAAGATGACATTCAAAAGAGCACAAATCCCATTTTTCTGGGGCTTTTTAGCGTAAGTAATTTATACACTTTTGAAAACCTCAATTATTATGAAATTTTTTTCAACTGTAGTATTAGTTATATTAATATTTTATATATACACAATATGTTAGTTATACTCAAGAATGTAAGAAGTCACTGCTGCAATTAAATCTAAAGGGGTTTTTTATCAACCTAGCTACTGACATTTAACTTAAATGCCCAAGCTACTCAAATATGTTTAGTTTTAGCAACAGTACAATTAATTATTATAAAGTCTTCAACTTCTACAGTGAAATAGCTAATAAAATTTCCTACTGACACTGAAGTGACAGCAGTTTGTATATATAGCTTATTAATGTGAAAGACGATTAGCAAGAGTAGTAACTGCTGTCAATTTAAAGTAAAAACTAATTAAATTCTCAGTCCATGCACTAGTCTCCCCTTCCAATAGGCTGCTTCTAATTACTCTCCAAACTCTGGAAATTAGCCAGGAGGTATTGTATAATACCAGACATTAAAAAAAGAAACGAAAGCAAAAACAACCTTTGATTAAGGACTGTGTTCCCAAAAATGTTGGACTTGAAAGTCATGAAGAATGACATCATCCACCTCAGCACAGAGCAAACACAGTGTATGAATACCAGTGTGCTCATATTACCACCAAAATGTGCCTCAAAAACTATGAACAGCGACTCCATACTAACTTAGTTTATGTTCCCATATAGCTCTTGACCTCTAAGCAAAAGAAGGGTGCTAGTATCAACTGTGTTACTCTACCAGTTAATGTGTTCCAAACCCAGAAAAAAATCAGATATGTAATAATTTTCAAACAGTAAGAAGCTAAAAATGGAAGGCTAAATATTAGGCTATTAAATATCAACAGTAACATTTAATATTGGCATTAGTAGTATTAAATATATAAACTATACAAATACAAATATTAACTATAAAATATAAACAGTACTATTAAATATATCACAAATAGCATTAACTACTACTGAGTAAATTTTACACTATTATCCTGATGTAACAAGCTTTTACATTTTGCTAAATGTCAAGAATTAGCTCAACAGGAGTACACGCAGTGGCTGGCTCAGACATGTAACTGCACACGCAAGCAAACATGCACATTGCAGCTTTTAGAGCTAAACAGAGAAACATGTTTTACTTACCCAAGTAAGTGCTTTTGAACAATGTAGTGATGTTACTTCAATGCTTTGTTTTTACTGTGCATTTATGAAGTGAATGACCGAACATATAAGCAAGTGAGGATGTATAGAACCCCCTAGAGAATTCCACCCAGTTGATGCAAACACGCGGTGCCTCATTTAGGTAAACAGTATTCTAAGATCTTAGATGACTGCAGAACAGACACTACTAATATAGTTTGTGACCACCATACCCTGAAATAAATAGATCTACTGTCTCAAACTTCTTCAATATTCTGACTTATTTCCAGTAAGGTCTAGATTTATTCAATTCTGATTTATTACACTCACAAACCAAAAGTTTTCCCTGTGAAAAAGGCAGCTTAATGGCTCCATTACTACAGGGGGTTCTTGAAGCAACACTAATTCAAAAATGAAGACAGTTACATGACTCGAGTATATTTTTTCTCGCTCTGCTAACATGATTTTTTCCCAGCTTGCCTTACTGAGAAAACAACATGAAATATCGGTTCAGGATTACTTTGAAAAGACAGAGATTGTTGTGTAATTAAATACCGTGGTCTTGTCAACATCACTTCTGGCTCAATGCTTTCATGCAATTACCTACCCTCTTCTACCGTTGAATCCAGCTGGGTAACTTTGACAGCAAGGCGATCAATTCTGTCTTGAAGGGAATTTGCTCTGATGTAGAAGCTGTTGGCCTCATTAAACAATTCACCAAATATGTCTTCGGCATGTTTGCCTGTGTGAGAAAATAGACAGGGAAATCCCTTTGCTAAAGACTTACAAAACACAAGACAAATGGCTTCAATATCATGACGTTATAATAAAACACAGTAGCTGTAGGATTGTAAGAGTACACTTTGTCATTCAGCAAAATTTTAGGCAACAGGTTTGTACAAAAATCTCAAAATATACCATAAACGCTGCCTGAAGTCTGTTCTCCTGGACATCCTGGTTAGTCTTCTACTTAAAAAACAGAGAGACTTTCAAATTTTAATCCTTATGTAGCTGAACTACCACCGTCACACAACTGATCATTAAAACCTGCCTCTGCGATGAAAATAAAGGCCCAAAGTTACTGCTGTCCATAAAAGCTTCTGAAGAAAGTTTTGAAACCCAAAATCTTGCAGTCCATAGTCATTAAGATTTAATTATAAGCATGAGCACAAGCCAACATCAAAACAAAGGCAAAGTGAAACAGATAAAAACCAGGATCCTCATGCAAGGCAGCCCACTTACCTCTACAAATGCTCACTGTATACATGTTGCTCTGTCACTGGAGTCATTTGAGAGATTGAGTAGGATGGTAGTGACCACATTTACCCATGGCCAGTCTGGACTGGATATAGCACAGAAGAGGAGCCTACAACCTTTTCAGCCTCCCTTTCAGCTGCCGTATTTTCTCAATCACTAAGAGAATGGATAGTGCAGTTCAGATCTGCAGCCTCAGGCCCTACCCTCAAAGTGTTACAGTGGACAGGAGTGCCACATGATAAACCAAACGCCCTCTTGGTCCACAGATCCTTGTGCATGCCCATGCCCTTCCTACTCCTCCCTCAGTACTAGGCATCATCCACAGTTTGACTCTCCTTCTGCCCCAGTCTGAACCTCTCAACCACTCCAGATCAGAATCCCCAATTTAACACTTCTGCCCAGAACTTCCCCTACAACTTTCAGATTCCACCCAAATTCATTGTTCCCGCACTCAACTGACAGTACCACACCTACTTGTGTCTCAGTCCTTCCTATGTAGATACTGCTGCTTCATTTAAGATGTCCCCCTCCACAAATTCTGCAGCCAATGCCCCTCTTAAGTCATCCAAACTCCATCCGCTCTCTGTGCAAAAAGCAAAATCCTGCCCCCTGTATTTAACCATGTTTTTTAAACCAACATAAGTTTTAAAACCCTACTTCTGAATTAAACTCATCTTGTTATGACCTGTATCAAGAGGAATCCAAACAGCAGAAATCGGGGGGGGGAAGTGAAACTTTGTCTAATTGTTGGAACAATATGGTATACAAATTAACCACCTAAATGACAGTGACTTCCAAAACAACAGCAATTGTTGACATTTTAAGTTGGGTCCTATAACCAACCTTAAAATTTTACAAAGAGAAGCACAGATGTAATGAAAATTTCAGTCAAGATTCCATTGTGTGAACATCTGGAGACGATAATTCAAAGTAAAAAACAGACACACTTAGGAAGTCAACAGAATACATCCCTTTCTTGGATCATTTACTTGGCAGAAAGAGAACATCACCACCACAATATCTGAAAGCACTGTTTATGAATTACAAATTTGAAAGAAATTAATTTGATTGCCTTGCTTTGAGTGGAAGATTTTACCAGTAATAGATTTCTTCACTAAACGTAAGATCAGCCAATAACTAATCCAAAATGTTAGATATTTTGGTGCCACCAAGCTCTGCTTGGTACTCATGTGGAAGGTGGACAGGCAAGTGTTGCTGCCTACCTGCTCCCAATCTCCTCCCCCTTCTAAAACAGAAGTGTCACAACCACAAAATAGTTGAGGCTGAAAATCATCTAGTCCAAGTCCCTGCTCAAAGCATAGCCAGACAAAGCAGGTTGCCCAGGACTGTGTCCAGTTGGGTTTTGAATACTTCCAAGGATGGAGGCTCCACAACTTCTCCAGGCAACCAGTCCCAGCGTTCAATGACCTTCACACTAGAAGTGTTCTCTAAGTGCTTCCCAGCAGCTAGTTGAGATTCAGTTATAATCCCCATTTGATTTAGTTGCTGCAAATGAAGAGGTTATTCCAAGCTATAGAAAAATGAGCTTTTCAACTCATCAGTTAAATAAAGCAGGTGCTACATTCTTTAGCCACCAGTATTCAGAGCTCAGAACATCAATAAATTTTAATGGCTGTTAGTTTATGTTAATGGATTGAGACCAGCCTGCTGAGGGAGGACTGCCACATTCTGTGATTAAACACATCAGTCCTAGAGAAGTCAAGCAGACGGCTGCTTGTCAGTTATCTTTCAGGAGGCAAAATAAGTCATAAAGTTGACTTGTGGGAACATACTACTTTCAATATTGATTTCTATTTTTTAACACTTGCTACTCTAAAACAAGTGAGAGGTTGTCAATCTCTTGTCAGTAAAAACAGTAACATGGTAAAGGCAACACTGGAACACACTATTCGGATTAACGTGATGCAGTAAGCTTTAGAAATAAAGCAGTACTTCTCTAGTGTTTTCTGTATTACCATCTTTTTAATAGATTTTTAACAATAATGAAACAAGCGGAAAAAACTCTTAATATCTAAAGTTACAAGCATGTATCTTTCAACTTAAGAGCAGATTTTGACACTAGAAGTCATTTAAAAACATGAAGTGCTTCCCAACATACAGGCAACCTAAACATTCATTCAAAAAAACCCCCACCAAATTAATTATGCAGTCTTTCCTTCTAAGGCTCCCTCCAACCACAAAACTAGTTGAGGGGAAATTTAGCCATGATACTGCCTCACCAAATCCCCACTATCCATAGGTTTTAATGTCAATTAACAGAAGTGCCTCTTTCTAGCATTTCCACAGGTCATCTTCATAGAGCTGTGTATTTGCTCGCAAAATAAATTTCCAAGCATTGAGACACATTTCTGGAGATCAGTAGTTCACAAGTAATTGAAATTATAATACCTCTACCCAAGTTCTACAGTAATTACATGAAACACCATCTTGCCACATCAGCTTATAACAACTTTAGCAGAAACTCGACACCACCTGAATAAATTACAATTGATTTGCACATAATGCACAAAAAGGTGTGTGCTAACACACTAAATATGTTGTCCCAAAGCTATCTTTTGTTAGCAGTCAAAACCCTCAGTGCTGTAACAGAAGAGGAATCTGACAACGATGCTGGCTTGTCTGAAGACAAGAAACCCAGCAGCGTTTATTACTTTGGCTAGTTTCCTTTCACATATTAGAGCCTAAAAAGCACAGCTTCCTTTGCACCTTCCTAGTTCCACAAGTACAAGGAAGAATGTGTTTGGGTTAATAGAATGATTTACAGTGCATTAAAGGGCTACAATTTTTCACGCAGTGAACAAGCATTATCAAAGAGAAAAAGGCAGAGCAATGTCATCACCTGACATTCAGGTGTCAGGTCTAGAAAGATACTGGAAGAAAGATTACACTAGGGCTGGCCCAATGTTCTCCTCAGGGTCCTAGGTAAGGGCTGAAACATCCCACAGAACTAGCTGGTGTTCCTTAAGTTGAAATTCATCCAGGACATGACCATTTTATCACAACACGGAGCAGAAAACAGTGATTCCACCCATCCATTTGTAACTGGATTAATTAACATTAGAATCATGCTTCCCCCCCCTTTTTTTTTAAAAAAATAAGCAAAAGTGGTAGGCTGTTACTGACCAGGTCTTGATTCTTACCTGCCTCCTCATAGCACCTCCAGCACAACACCCAATGCCAAAAAAGCTAACTTCCCAACTCCACCTGATTTAGCAGTGATAAAGAGTGGAGTCACACAGAACTGGATGCAGTGTGCTCAGTCCTGCGTGCAAATTAGGGAAACTATGAACCAATCTACCCAAGAAAATAATAGGAGGCAAGTTGGTGGACACTGCTCTCTGAGTGAAATAAAAAAATCTTCCAAGTCCCCACAGATCACACTTCCTCTGTTTTATGTTGTACAGTAAAAAAAAGTTTGGTATCACTTGCACATGGGTCAAAGAAAGTAGCTCTCTACCTGTGTAAAGATGGTTTATACCCCCGTGGAAGTAAGATTTCAACCTGACAGGTAGTATCTGAATGAATGGAGAAGCCAAAGATACAAAAATACAAAGTATTTAAAGACTCACAGAAAGGAAAATAGTTAAGAAGTGGTAATACAACTTGAAACACGAGTATGTTAATGTAGACTGAAATTTAATTAAGAAAAGCTCAATAAAGGAGTTTTTAATATTCAGTCTTCAGTGACAATCAGATGTATTATTTCTTCCCCATATATACACATATGCAAAACTCAGGAACAAAACCATAGTACAATAGATTCTGTTGCAGAGGATCCTGTTGCAGCTTTTTTCACTGGCTAGAGTCCTGCAGCCGTCAGGCCAAACTTCACTGCCAAAAGGCAGTATTCTGTGGAAGCTTTCTTCAAAGCCTTAGCTCCATGACTGTGTTTTACTAGGTAAAGCACCATGGTACTTACAGGTACAGGTTGCGAATGCTCCCAGTCCTCCCCCCCAGTAGATTCTCTCCTCCCAAGTGGAGGTGAAACCCCTACTCAAACTCTGCCTTATGTAAAAGTCCAGTTTCATACAGAACGCTGCTCACTCTGCCCGTGCTCCAAGCCAGCTGGCTGCAAACAAACCCAAATCTGAAGACATAACAGAAAAAAGCTCCACTAAGAGCACATTCTCTTTGGATAGGAACTTGTTCATGTCTCCTGAAAAGAGCACAGGCAGAAGCAAGCCAAATTTGTACGCAACAGCACAGATCTGCCAGTTTTTAAAATCCACACTGAACTCAGAGCGCAACATTAAAAATCCAGTGGGACTGCAAGATAAACCTGGGCTTGCTCTCTCTATGCTTCAAGCTGTGGGAACACCAACAAGCTCCGATGCTATCAGCAGGACAAACTGCATTAGCTCCAGCACAGCATTTTTCTATGATCATTTCCTTGCTCCCAGTTGGCTCGAAACACAGGCAAAACAAACACTGTCTGCAGAAGAAAACCTCTGCAAATGTGAAAGATTTTAGACTGTGGACAAGCCTGGTGGTAGACTTCACTCATTAAATACAATGTATTCACCTGTTAAAACAAAAGACACATCATTTATTTGCATAGATCTTGACACTAATAAAGTACTTCAGGGCTGTCTACAGAGACTTCTGACCACCTGAGAAATCTGCTAAGGGAAAATTGCAGGATATGGATTGTGTAAGTAGCCAGTTCCTCAGCAACAATCATAAGCAGATCTGAATACGCAATGTAACAGGCAGATTAGCCCCAAGACCAAATCTGGAGTAACAAAAGCTATACATTCTTAGCAAGTCAGACAAGTGAAAAGGGTATTATCCACACTCTGGCAACTGTTGTACAACACCAAAATGAGGTCTTATCAGATATCCTTGAACGAAATTAGGAGACATTACCCATTCTTCTCAATTTTCTGAAACTCAAGGATATCAATACTGAGCAACTGCCTGATAAAACAGTAAGTGAAACTCAATGACAATACAAACACAAATTAACTATAAATAACACTAGACACTAAA